GCGGGTGCACCGGGCGCGCTCCGACCGCGGGAGCACGGGGCGCGCTCTGACCGCCTAGTCCCACCATCTTCATCCCTAACGTGTCCCAGGTTGCACAGCACAAATTCCAGTGCAGGGCCGGGCCTGCAAGAAGGCCACGGGGCACTGCAGAGCAGGACTGCCCAGGGCCTGGGAACCCAGCACGATGTGAGCTCGCCCTGACCCTAACCCGGCAGAGGGTGGGTCAGGGCCTGGGAAACGTCAACAAACGCAGCCATTTTAGGGGCACGTCTGGATGGAGACTTCTGGACAAAAGCTGCCAACTAAATGCAGGAGGAGAGGGCAGAGACAGGTGAATGCCGGTCCTGGCAGCGGCAGGTGCAAAATGGGATGCCATTTCTGCCAGGAGGGCCCTGGGGGCAACTGGCTGTTGGGGGTTTCTGGCTCCTTGCCAGGATACAATTCTTCAGGGGCCACTGGTCTGATCCCAGGCTCCTTCCGGGGCCTGGAGGGGGCTGGCACACCTGGTGGGACCCTCAATGCCCTTTAGGGGTCGAAGACATCAAGACCATATTCCCAATGTAGCCCCTGGGCAGGGCTCCCAGGCCCTCGGGGGTCAGCGAGGCCGCAGTGTCCAGGACAGCGCTGGGCACACTCCGGGCGAGATGAGCCGTACCTGCTGCACTGGAGGTGCAAGAGGTGGGGTCGCTGGTGGAGCGGGCTATGCGCCCTGGTCCCTGCCACACCCTCTTGCCCTGGACCAGGCCCTCCGGAGACGTGCAGCCTGGGCCTGGAGTGGGCGGTGGGGCGCCTTCGGGGTGCGGAGGGCCTTCGGGGTTCAGCTGGCTCGGGCCAGGCGCGGAGGCACCCTCAGCCACGGGGAGGCTCGTGCTGTCGGCTGGCACTGCAAGACAGGGGACACAGCGTGAGGGCGGGGACTGGGGCCTTCTGAACGGTGACAGGAGCGACCTGAGGTGGGGCCAGAGCGTGACTCCCAGAGTTCTCCCGTGGGCACGTGGCAGCCGGCCCTTCAAACCCCAAGCCTGGATAAAGCCTGCAATCCAGGGGTGTGGAAACGCTGGACAGACTGATAAATGCTCTGGTTTGGCAAGGTTGGGGCACACCAGATACCTTCCCTAGAATCATCCCTAAGGTGGTGGTTGTGGGGGGAAGGGACATAGACTCAACAAACACGAAAGGCTGAAACCAGCCCGATCCCCAACAAGGGCATCCCTAGGAAGGAGCTAAAGCACAGAAGGTGGGGAGTGGGGGGCCCAGGATACTCACTGAGCAAGGTCATGCAGGGAAATGGACACTTGGGGTTCACCAGGCCATCCTTGCTAGCTTTTGATGTGTTGAGAAACCGGCCCCACCACTTGGGGTGCACCCCCAGGGCCTGAAGTGCCTTGGAGCCTGGTGAGGTAGGTGAGGTAACCCCGCTAAACATGGGCCAGCCGGCAGCCTCAGAACCACCAGGTATACGTCAGACGTCAGACGTGCATGTATATGAACTCCCGGCCCCTCCCAGCCCCTCCCAGCCCCACCCGGCCCCACCGCATCCGAAGCTCTGTGTGGGCTGGGCCCTGACGTCAGCATTGGAACCAGAGAAACCTGAGTGTGCCATCGCTGCTGTAGATGCCAGTGGGACCTGGCAGGCAGAGCCCCAGCCCTTCCCACTCTAAGGGTGGCACCCCTACTGTACCCCTGCACCCCAGGGGGCTGAATGAGAACAGAGTTAACGAGTCTGCGCACATTAAGGCCTGAGAAGTGCTCGTTTCCCCCAGACATCAGAGTTGGCTCCCCACCCTGAGTGACCTGCGCGGGGGACACTTGGGTAGAACCCCAGCAGCCCAAACTCCTCTGGGGGTGGGAGGCATGGAGGTATGTCCCTTCTGCCCGTCTGTGGGCCCTGAGGGGAAACTGAGGGAGGCCTTGCTGTTTCCAGGTCCATGTGCTCTGCCCTCTGTGGCCTTGCCCTGTGCAAGGGTGTTTCAGGGGAGCCCCCCCCACTTAATCCTCACCTGGGGCACCCACATTCCACAGCCGAGGAAATGCAGCAGAGAGAGGGCCAAGGACACAGTCACCAAGCCACCAGTGGTGGAGCTGGGGAGAAGATTCTGGAGCACTGAATCACCCTCCGCCACCTCCCGCTGTGCTCCCACCCTGTAAATGCTTTGGGGTCATTAATAGTCCATTTGGGAAAATGGGGCAATGATCCAGACCTTACGCATCACATGCAAAAAAAAAAAATTATTCAGGATGATTAAGCCTTGTCTAAGATGGAAAAAGATAGAAGAAGAAAATAGATTCTCTTGGGTGGGGACAAAGACTTTCAACATGATCGGAGCTATAAGGAAAAGCGGGGTCAGTCTGATAGCAGAACGGTACACCTGTCCGGGCATCATGGATCCGGCAGGAGGGGGGCGACGCACTCCCCACTGACAGGAGGGTGTTTGCTCACATCCCTGACATCCAAATCTCCCGGAAAACCAGACTCCTGCGAGAGTATAAAGGGACCCAAACTACTTATAAACAGGTAAGTGTGCAAACGATTGCTCAAACACAATACTGGAGTGTGTGTGTGTGTGTGTGTGGAGTGTGTGTGCTGTGCAGGAGTGTGTTTGTGGTATGGTTGTGCCGTGAGTTACGCATGGTGCATTGAGAATGCATGTTGTATGTATATGGACGTGTGTGTCATCTGTGTGTGAGTGCATGAGAGTGAATATATACAAGTGCAAGTGTGTCACCTGCGTGTCTCACATCTGCCTACAGAGTAAAAACACTTTGGAGGTGTCATCAACCCTGTTGTTGCTGAAGAAACCCACGTAAAGACCTTTCCAGAATGCCCAGTGGCCGACACGTTAAAGTCGAAAACGCACCTTCCATGGAATCATTCGTTTCACTTGGAGGGACTTATTCTAAGAGAACAATTGGGCAAGCACTCAAACTGAATATGTAAATGTGGAAAAGAAATAATACTCTCCTATGCCATGAGACACCTTCAAGCCTACGTTATCACTATTAACTCTATCAAAATCCTATCAAAATTGCACCTCAGTGTATGAAATCACTGTGAATAATATTCATTCCTGCTGATCCCTCTTGATCCCGATTCTCTCACACCCTCACTCATGCACATGCAGCTTGATTTAGGGAAAATGGATATTGGAAACCCTCGTCCCTATTTCACATGACCTGATGAGTCTGGACACAGGTACAGCCCTTGACCCCAATTTCCTTAGTGTCAGTGACAATCCAGGCCTGTCGAAGTCTCCGCAAGGGTTGTGGGGACCGACTAGAAGGTTCTCATGGAAAAGCCCAGGCCCTGGACACCTGGGATAATCCTGACCAAGGAGAAAAGTCGCTGGCCTGCTACTCGGCTTCTTGCAGAGTGACAGTGAGGAAGACAGCGGCGACTGGCTGGCACAGGGACCCATGGGCAGAAGGGAGGACAAGCAACAGCCCAGCACAACTGAGTATTGATGAAGGCACAGGAGCAACGGTGGCCAGGGGCCCCTGGGCATGGCAGGCAAATCAGGATCCTGACCTCACCTCTGCCCACACTGGAACCTCTGTGGGAGGCCCCCAGCCCGAACACCAGGGTGCCCCGCCTTCCGGTCATCTGTGATGGCGCCCAGACCTGCTGCACCCCCAAGAACCCCTGGGAAGAACGAAGGCACGTGTCCAAATCCCCCCACTTAATCCTCACCATCCACCTGGGGCACCCTCATTCCACAGCCGAGGAAATGCAGCAGAGAGAGGGCCGGGGAGACAGTCACCAAGCCACCAGAGGTGGAGCTGGGGAGAAGATTCCGGAGCACTGAATCACCCTCCGCCACCTGCAACTCAGACACCTGCAGCTCCGGTGACCCAGAGGTGGGCTTGCAGAACTGACAGGCCCCTCCGCTGTGGAAGGGCCTTGCTGGGACCCTTCGTTATCGCACAAGTTGTCCGACTTGGGTCTCTGAATAGGCCAGCTTACATGAGCTACTCCCCACAAAGGGCCCTGCCCTTTAGCTCTCTCTGCTGGGAAGCTTTCCTGATGCCTTGGCCTCCTCTCTTGCCCCTGGCTGCGCTCTCTGGCTCTCACCCATAGCTGGATCAGGCATTTGACTTTTGTCCTTCAGTGCACCCAGAACACAACATTCAGCCTGGCCCGACCCAGCCTCCCCCCTGGGGAAAGAGCCAAGTGGACATCAGATTGGTACGGATTTTATTCTGGAGGGAGATCTCCAAGTCCTCCAAATCCACAGCCGTCAAGTAGGAGAGAAAAGGCACCAAAGAGAGGGAGAAATCCCCTACCTGCACCGCGAGAAAGTCTGAGGCCTCCCAGGTATTTACTTGCTGGAGGCAGGTAAGGGAGAAAAAGTGGGGACTTACCGAATACTTCCCAGGAAAGGTGGTGGCAAACCCCATCTTCCTACAGGGTAAGAAGTAGTGGGAGGGGCAGGGCAGGAACAGGCAGGGGGTGTGGTGTTAGGGGGAGAAAGTGAAGGTGTGAGGCCCAGGACCCCAAGGGGTGAGTTACCTTGTGCGCTGAGGCCAGCAGCAGAGCCTGGGTCCCCAGAGCTGGCCTCGGTCCCCGGCTGCTCCCCACTCGCCAGCTAAAGCAAGAGACAGATAACATCAGAGGGGGCTGGGGGCCCTCTGGCCTCAAGGAAACAGCATAGCAGCTTCCAGAATAAAAAGGCTGACGTGACGATTTTTTGTTAATTGAAATGTAAAATGGGTTTTATAAATTAAAACAGGAGAAGCTAAATGAAATCACTGAACATGTTAGGATTCTGTCAAATGGATGACTAAGTCTGGTTATGTTTTTATTATGTTTATGAAGGTGATGGTGACTGACAGCACTGTGTATGTTTTAGGGGGACGGCCCTCGTTTTCTCACGGTACTTCTGAGGACACGCACCGTGAACCCCTGGACAGCTCAGGGCCCGCTCATCCCCAGCGTTTTCTCAATAAATATACAATTGAGCCCTAAACCCCATGGCGGAAAACACAGCAAACGCATTTCCTTCCTGATTTGCTTGCTAAGGTCCTTTCCCGCGGGCTGGTGTGTAAAACACGGACCGGACAGGACAGCGCCTGCCCTTGCTTCCACCCCCCGCCTCTCCACCCCTCTCTCCCCAGCCTGCTTCCGTTCCAGGATGAGAAGGCCGATGCTTTGGCCCAGTCTGGACACAGGGTGGACACTGTTTGGCCTCCACTTGTTCTTTCTTTCCTTTTGATCCATCAGCAGATGGGATCAAGGGGTCACCCGGCAGGCCGCTCTCCTGCTTGACCTCAGGCCATGTCCGTGTCCCAGAGGCCATATGACTGGGTCCTGTGACCCCAGAGCAGTCAGTTGTCCTGCTGTCCTAGGCGCTCCCGGGGTGGTCACTGTGCTACTGCAGCTTTCTTCTGGCTCCTTCTGCCAGAGATGCCTCGGCCATAGGCAGGGGAAAGTCCAGGCCTCCGTGCCAGGCAGAGGTGGGGCATCCCACACACTCTTCACCCTCCTGCTCAGCTCTGCTCAGCCCAGTCCTGCCCTGGGCAAGCGCATCTGCTTCAGCTTTGCCTCAGGGCACAGAGGCCCTGCCTGGGCTGTGCTGCCCGCTGGACACGTGTGCCCCTTTGCTATCTCGAAAAAAGCCATGTCTGCGTCTTCCTGTTATTTCAGAATTGCTTTGGGCACACGATGGCAAATAATGAGCTCTGGGGGAGGCCGGGGAAGGAGAGGCGGTCCCCGCGCTTGGTCCGATTCCAGCTCAGGTAATTACATTTCTGCCTCCCTGGTCTCCCCGCCACTTCAATCAGACAGCTGATATTCTTCATCTCTCCTCTTTCAACCAGCCTGGCACTGCAGCAGGTGGCAGGCAGCAGCACCCCCATTCCGAGAGGGGGTGCGCTATGCTCTCTGCAGGGGCCTGCGGGAGAGCAAAGTCCCCAGCAGAGAAGACCCGGAACGGCCTAAATGTTTCCTCTGATGTTGCTTATATAGGATACTGCCTCCTCTACGTTTCTTCCTCTTGCTCCCACGCTGCTGAAGAGGGGGCAGGGTGGGGAGGGTCCCCACGCCAGCGGCACACACGTTCCATTTCACCATAATCACTAAATGCCAATAACCAATTCCAGAAATCTCTGTCAAGAATCTGCTGCTCAATCACAAAGAGAGGACAATGCCCTTAAGCTTTGTTTCTTTCCACAACTCTTCTCTTCCTGTCGTGAAACTCCTGCTTGATTTTTTTTTTTCCTTCTTCACAGAGATAGGTGGCAATCTGAAAACCCACTGCCTGAAAAAATTCTTCAGGTAATAAAGAAATATAAATAAAACAAGAGAAAGAAAATACAGCATGGGAGAAGGTCAGGAGGAAATTGGATTTGTTTCATATTGTGCAGGAGCAGCCTGGCTTCCCTCTGGTTCCCGGTCAAATTTGGTTTCCAGAGGAGACAGCTCCTGGGGGCGCATCTATCACCACTCCCAAGCAGGGGTCAAGAGTTTAATTTGAATTTGGCCTTCCTTGATGTCAACGGCCACCTGACCACACAGAAGCGGGGGAAACAGCTGTTCAGTTCATGCTACGTTTTTTGATTAAATATAAAGGCAGCAGAAATGAACAGAGGAGAAATATATTGGTGGCACAGAATTGAAGTTGGAATTTGAGTTTAGCAATAAAGGTGGTTCACATAGTTCTTGCAGGCGAGGGGGTCAGGGGGCTGTTGAAAGGAGGCACCAAATGTCTAGCTTCATTTGGGACATACATACAAAGGTCTGTGCTTATTTACTCTCAGATATGCCATTTGGAGCAGGTATTGCAGGTGAAAGTCAGCTGGCATTTAGCAGTTCCCGTCATCTCCCTTGTTTTTGGGTAACTCTGTAGCTGAGACACCCCACACGGAAATCCTGCCAAGTGGGAATAAATATCCCACTTGTGGAGTCAGCCAGAACCAGACTTATCAAGAGCTGTTCTCCTGGTTGGGGTGGGGTGGGGGTGAGGGATGAGGGGGACAGGGGCATCATCAGCTGTGGTGGAAAACGTAAATTAAGATTTTAGACTACCATCCCCAGGAAATCGGAAGGTAGATTTCGAAAGGTAAAGATCTGGTGGTGGGCGATTTACGGCGAGTACACCTGAGAGGAGAAATCAAATATCCTACAAAAACAAACGCTAAATGTAAGGGGAAAAAATAGAAAGTAAAGATCATTTTGTCTGAACACGTAAATAACAACTTTTAGCCACCGCCTCCCTCCCCGCCTCCCCAACACACAGCAAAGCAGAGTAAGCTCGCAGCTGTCTGCTTCTCCTGGTGGGCTCCGGGCTCTGGAGCCTCTGGCCAGGCCGACTGCCCAGCCGGGAGGTCAAGAAACCCCGAGGCGTGTTTTCCACGTGGCTGTGGTGAAGCGCTGGTTTAACGAGAGTTTGAACCAGCTCCTCTCTGACGGTGCATGGTGTTTAGCGCCTTTTCGTCTAGTTCCTGGTTCTGCTCACGCGCCCACGCCTCGCTAGCGTGCGAAGACTGAGTCTGCCTCCGAAGCCCCACCGTGGGGTTTTTCCCCAACTGTTCCTGCTCCGTCTCCATGGTGGACTGCTGGTTTCACAAGGGTGGGGGTCTGCCCACCAATCTGTGGTTTTTACACCTCAGGGCACCCACAGTCTGACATGGGCCCTGCAACATAAGCTTGCCACCCGCACGAGGACATCCAACTGGCAAATTCTCAGAAGCCTTCCCACTATAGACAGCAACTCGCTCCTCCCCACCTTGCTGGGAAGCTCAGTCTCACAGCAGGGGAGAGACAGACGCTCGATGGGACAGGAACGTGCCAGCCCATGCAGGTGAACGGGTCACAGCCACCAGCTCAGGCGGGAGCGGTTTTACTTCCTGCATCAAACTTCTCTTCCAAACAAGCCAGCAGGCATCCCCTGCCCTGTACAGACCCCAGGGTGCAGGCTTTCTATCCTCTGTCTTCCCCTTTATCCAAACAAGCGCTGATAGGCAATTTATATACCATTTGTCCTAGCAAGGGGAAGTAATTAACCTCCTCCTCGCCCAGTGCAGAGGGGCCGTGCTGAAAAGGGGACCCTCCTTACTCTCCAGTCCACGGTGGGTGCACTTCCAGGAGGCGGGCAGCTGGTGGGCACAGCCACCCCTCGATGGAGCGAATGGTTTTCATCGACTTTCGGGCTCCCAGAGGTGTGTGTGAGATGAGAAAGTGCTCCTAGACTCCAGGGTCACAGAGGGTCAGGCCAGAAGGGCTCAGGCATCCCAGAGCAGACCCCCGCAGCTCCAGATACTGCCTCCCACATGGGTGACCAGAGAAAGGCCACCAGCAGCCCACACCATGCTTCTTCTGAGCACAACGTTCGTGCAGGCCGTGTGTGCTGGCAACTCTGAGCTGGACACAAGCAACACGAGAGAGCCCCTGCTTCGAGGCAGCAGAAAAGCCCCAGTCAAGTCAGAGATCGGGTCACGCTGGCCTCAAACCCTTGTTCATCCGCCCATACAGTCACTTCTTCAGAAGTAAGAGTCAGACAGGGGCAGCACTGCCAACATCCTTCCCGTGCGCAAAGCGGTGCCTCGATGCCACGCCCGGGTCCGGAGGCCGCTTTGCAGCACTGGGTCCATGAAGGCCTGCGGGCGAGGTCCACATGCCGGCGTGTCACCACCCGGATGGAGAAGCAGGGGGCTGAGGAGAGCAGGCCCCCCCACCGCCGCAGGTGTTCAGGGCTCCGGAGGGTTCTACAGCCTTGTCTCTTCTGGAATTGGGAGGAACGGCTCACAGCAGGGCGGGTGGGAAGCAGGTGAAGCCTGTCCCAGCATGGAGCTGGAGTTCTGGACGCCGCACGCAGGGTGCTCATGGCCAGCGGGAGGTGGCAGAGTCCCCTTGCCCCCCAAAAGGCTTTGCAGGTCCTCTCCCAACACCCCTCTCTCCTGCCTCACAACTACTCCCTCAACTACAGACCCAAAAACCTCTGTGGTGGGTCCAGACAGCTGCACTTGGCTGACAAGCACTCCTGACTGGGGTGACCTTGGAGTCTACAAACCGCTGCTACACCCCAGGAAAGCCTGTGGCCTCCCAGCGCTGTCCCATTGCAGCCCTCCCGCCAAGGTCACCAGCAGGCCCTCGACAGTGAGTCCCGGGGCCTGGGTCCGCCCTTCGCAGCCCCAGCAGCCCTCAGCCCAGCCCTTCCTTCCTGACACTGGCTCCTGCAAGTCGGGGCTCCCCAGGCAACCCGGCCCTCTGCTCTGCACCCCCTGCTCCAGGGCGCTCCCAGAGCACCTCTCTCCTGGGCCCCCACCTCCTCCGGGTTCCCAGGCTGCAGTGATACCGCTGCAGCTACCCCGATCTCTGAGGCCCCAGCTGCTGTCACTCATAGGACACTGTCTAGGACATCGCAAAGCCCTTGGACCCCAACCAGCCTCGTGAGCAGGTTGCCTCCGGCCGCGTCACTCTCGGCCTCCTCCCACGGCCTCTGCGCCTGGGACACGCTGTGCTCTCTCCTCTGAGCTCCGCACAGACTGCCCCTCCCAGGAGCGCTTCCAGCCCCTGCCCCCAGCCTGGCTGGCCCCCACTCGGCTTGGCCCCCCACCCCTCCCACCTGGAGGCCACCCTGCCGGCCCTGGTTCTGCCCCCTCACTTCATCTCAGCACCCAGAATCGGCTACAGGCCCTAGTCTGCGAGTGGGTTCCGCTGCCCTGGACCGACGTGCCTCAGACAGGACCGGGGTGCAGGAGGCTGTTCCCACTTCCCCAGCAGATGACCCCAGTGCCAAGGACTCAAGCCTCGCTGGTCTTCCTGGCCCGTGGCCTGAGCCCCATCACCGGGGCCTCTGTCCCCTCATTAGAACCCGTGACAGCTCTTTCTGCACTGGGTCCCCAACACCCCACTCAGCAGTGAGCGCGGTCGCTCCTGAGGGGGCCCCGGGGAAAGCGCGGATACCGGGGCTGGACTCCCCGGGCCTGGTTCTGTGCCCCGAGCTGACGTCTCCCCTCGAGGGGGGTGAGTCAGACGAGCACCCCACAGGGCTGCTGGGGTTCCGTGGGTGCAGTGCAGGCAGAGAGCCCCAGTGCCAGGACGAGCTTTCCTGGGGCCGGGACTCACCTGGCTGGCTGGGCTGGGGCCCACCACGGCTTCGTAGGGCGGGGGGAGCTCGGCGGGGTAGAGCAGGCCAGGGCTGTTGATGGCCACGTCGTACAAGGTGCTGAACGGTGAGGCGGCAAAGTTCAGGTGGAGGCCCCTGAAAAGGCAGAGCCGTGGACCGGTCACTCCCTGGCTGGGGCCACGTGGGGGCAGTCCACCCGGGCGTCAGAAGGTGGCTCGTCGGGGTTTGCCCTCATGGAACACTTGGGGTGTTTATGAACACTTGGGGACCACCAGGCTTCTCAACCTTTTGTGTTTTTTTCTTGGAACGATGGACATTGTCCATCCACTCTGGCTCTAGCCATTCATATTACAATCATCATACAACTGACTCAAACCTTTGATGCCATTTTACATGTTCTATTAGTGACTGGGCTTCACAGCAGGTTTGTGTAACTGCTGCGCCTGGCCAGGGCGTGCCACTCGGCAGTGCTCCCAGCAGAATCGTCCCCCCTTTGGGCCCTCCCCCGCCGCCGGCCCTCTGCTCCCTGCTGGCTAATCACAGGAGGGTTCCCGGCTTGCTCTCCTGGCCCTGCAACGTGGCCCCGCCCACAGGGGGCAGCCGCCGCTCTGCCGAGAGCCCTACCTGTGGGCCTCGGCTGTGGGCGTACAGGTGTACTCCGGAGGGTAGTAGGGAGGTGGAGGCAGTGGAGGTACGAACTCATCGAAATCCAGGGTCTGGTGGAGAACGGTGCCGTGAGGGGTCAGGCAGGCCGGGCTGGTGGAGTGCGCCCTTTGCGGGAAAAACTGGAAAAGCAGAGAGAACCAGAGTTATCTGGGACATCATGTGTGGCTTGCGTCCAATTAAGCTAATATGTAATATTAGCTTAATATTACATATGTAATATGTAAGTGTTAATGACCCGTTAGCAACGTATGTAATCTCAGCTGTCAAGCCTTGATGGCTAAAGGAGTCTTTAAAAGCCACAGGGAGGGGTGAATGCAGAGGGCGCCTCGAGGCTTCCTCACATGCCTCTTCCCACGCCAGGACGCAGAACCCCGTTTTCTGAGGACACGCGGCCTGGGGAGTGTCTCGTTTCTATCCCTACCATCACGCCTGTCTCTTTTGATTATGGTGCTCAAAAGCCAGGAGTCAAAGAGTGCCTGGAGCCCCCCCGGAATGGCTCAGGAGAAAGCGAGGGGCCCTCCAAGGCCCCCTCCTGCCCATCCCGTTTGACGCATGAAGGGACCGTTTTTCAAATTACTTTCATGACGCGTGCGCTGGACACAGAGGGACATGGAGCCGCCCTTCGTGTTCTGCAGTTCCAGGGAATCACACTCTTTGTAGAACGTGGCTCTGAGGAAGGAGGACCTCCAGCGATGCAGAACACGCTGTGGGTCAGCCCAGACTCTAGGCTGCCGCTCGAGGAAACCCAGGAACAGTCCCTTCACATGCAGGCTGTGTCCGCCGAGCTGGCCATCTCTGCCCTGATAAATGCTCCCTTTCTGCCCTTGGTCCTGCTCCCCACAGGTACCTGTGCTGTGGTGTGATGGGTACCTGTGAGTTTAGACACTCCTCCCGATCCAACCAACGCTCCACTGTGAGCGACTACAGGTCTTGGCCTACACAAACTGCAGGTTCTGGGCCTTCCAACTACGGAGCCGTGAAGGGAAGAGGGCAGCAGGGGAGGGACCTACAGTCCTGGTCTCAGCCGCTGGGAAATGATGAACTCTCTAAGCACCTGGCTGCTGCAAAGGGTCAATGAAGGAGCTGGCATTTAAATGGGCATTAAAGACTGGTAGGACTTTAAGTCATGGGCTTGCCGGGAGCTGCTCTAGCCTCAAGAACAGGTGAGCTAGGGAAAGATGTGTTCAAGAAAAGCAAATCTGCATATGACTCTAGAATCTTAATTCTGGGGGCACCGGGAAGCCAGCGGATGCTGGAGCTGGGGAGCTGCTCTAGGAAAGTTGCGTGCACGGCAGGAACGCCTTCCAGAGGTGGAGGGCAGGCAGATTCTGCTCTGCGGGGCATTGCGGGAGGACATGCAGTGAGACCGTGGTTTGGACAAAGACCCAGAGCTCTGAGGTTAGTGTCCCTACACATGGGGACAGAACGGCGACCATGTCTAGGCACCTCACACATCAGACTGAACACGCTGCCTGCCTTGCCGGCTGGTCTGAAGCCCTGCTTTGATTGGTTGTCTGAAATGGAGGTGAATCAGTGGATGAGCGCGCTCGGGTGGGGGCCTGTCCTCCATCTCGGGAAGCTGTTGGCCCTGATGGTTCTGTACCAGGCTGAGCAGCAAAGACAAGGCCAGCTGTCCTTGAGGCCTAATAGGAAATATTTTGAATTAGTGCCGATTAGCAATTAGAAAAAATCAATAGCATGAAAGGAAAAGGCCTGGATGCTTTCCTAGTAAAGGTACATTTCCAGCAGGAATGAGAACAAGTATGTTCATGACAGCAGCAAGGAGCCCTGGGTGATCGTATTAGCAGGTTTAAGTGAGAAGGTGCTGCTGGACAGCAGAGGCTTTGAAAAGGCTGAACAACAGACTCTGCTTCTCTGAATTCCAGGTTGCTACTTCTGGGCCTGGTGAGCTGGCCCCATCTTTGTGGGAGCAGCTCAGACTTGGTTCCTTTCAAACAGCTTTTCTCCTGGTTCTTCAGCCTGATACACCAAACAGACCCCTTTTCAAGGGAAGATCAGGACCCTTGGCCCAATGATGGTGAACAAATACTCACTTGCACACTGAAAGCCAAAATAAATGTCAGCTTGTAGGCATCATTTTCATGCTGCCGTGAGGAGCTTTCTGGAGAACCCAGGCACTCATCAGTCCTAGCCCAACAGACAAGGAGCATCTCCTTGTTGCTATCAGACCAGAACTCAAGGGAGGGCACTGTAAGGCCAAGGAGAGCGGGCCTGGGGGCAGATGGGCAGGCACCCACTGGGGTAAGGTAGTAACGAACCCCAGTGATTCTGGGGCTTCCAGTGGGTGGTGTTACCTCGGTCTCTGCTGCCCTACACCCTTGCTAGCTCCACAGGCAAAGCTATGGTCTGTGAAAAGCACAGCCCACTATCTGACTCCTGCAGGTGTCCTAAAGCTTCGGATTCTATGTGAGGAAGTTAATAAGCAAGTGCCTGGCAGAGACACATATAATCGCAGGTGATGTCCCTTAGGCTACAATAGCTGGTAATAAAAACGAGCAGGGAGGAAAATAGTGTAATGGAAGACTAAACTGCAATTAAAAAAATAAAACTGAAAATTTGAGATAGACTTTTTGGAGGTTAAAGCTGTCAACAGAAACTCTGCCAGTAAATTGAATTTTATAAGTTTATCATCAAATTGTATTTTGCTGCTGTTTCTAAACATGTTAGAGTAATTCAGCTCTATACATTCTGACAGTAGACATAACACTCTATCTCAGTATTTATGCATTCATTATGTAAGTCCCAAATACTGTTAATAATTCCCCAAACACTGGTTGGTCCAGACATAATTTGTGGTTGTTTCCATGCCCTGGCTGTGGGTCACCGTCTGCTGTCTGGAGAATTCAGGGCCTTTCATGCATAAAGTACACCTGTGAGACATTAGCTCACTTCCCACTTCTATGTTTTGTTTTTTTTTTTAAGATTTATTTCTGCATATAGAAGTGGGGTACAGGTCAGAGGTGCTGGGATGGTGAGAAGCTTCACCAGAGACAGAATAGGGAGCAGAACAGGCTGACTGACAAAGTACACTGCTGAAGGGAGCAGCAGGCGGGTCGGGAGAGGTCAGCCACGCCATGTGGGTCACCTCCAGGGCAAAGATCAAACTCTGCTGAAGTGGCTTTAGCTTCTCAGTGCCATGCTTTAACCTGCTGCGCCACCAGGGAGGGACCCCAGTTCTGTCTTTAAAGCTAAACTTGAAGATGTTTGTGAAACAATGTGTATGCAAATACTGCTCCCCCCCCCACTTTTATCTCAACCCTTACAGTCGTCTCTCTATTTCTACATTGATAGCAATATGCTTGTTGGTCCTTTTTCACTAAATCTTTTGAAAGCACTCAATATTGTTGTGATAGAAATAATAATCTTTTTGCATTCATGTTTCTTGGTCTGCATAGTACACAGGTATGCAAATACAGTCTACTACCACTGGCATAAACTGGCTTGGGAATAGATACAACCATCTCTTAGAAAGCTTAGCTGCTGGGAGTAGAATTGCTGCTTGGGTGAGCTGCAGAGGCAGCTGCTGGTGGGGGCTTTGTGCTGTGGGCAGCAGACAGCGCCTCCTACAGGACACATGGAGAACTACAGTTATGTGGCCAGTAGGCTAGTTAGGACAGTTACACTCAAGCATTGGGGCTGGCAGCCGCACCACAGACACGGGCATAGTCTAAGTCAACTGCAGGAAGCAACTCAAGCATCCGCAATAGAGAAATAGCGTGGCATCCCTCTCCGGACCCATGCAGATAGTCCTAGATGCATGTCCACAGCCTGGGAGATTTTCAAGCTACAACGTCAAGTTGCGGAGTAACACAAACAGACTCCATTTTGGATGAAAGAAAGGGAGGAAGAGGAAGGAAGGAAGATTCTCTATGTGTTAATACAAGTACTATGAAATCAAGAAAGAAATGGAAGAATTCACTGCGGTTCCCTCTAGGAGAGTGAGGTGGGAAAGAGGAAATTAACTTTTTTTTAATCGATATCTATATTTAACTTGTCAGTGATTACAACTTGTTTGATTATCGAGTTGAACACAATGAAGAAAGTTAAAGTCTATTATATCAGTAAAGCCAGAGGAAATTAAAAAAAAAAATTAAAAAGAGCTTCTGAGGAAGGTGTCCTTTGGAATAACTGCTCTGGCTCCATCCCTCAGAGAAACCCTGAACCCCTCAGGTTGTCACTTCTCTGAAAACACAACTGTGCAGAGAGCCTGGCGCAGCCGCTGGCCCACTCGTGTCCACCGAGCCTTTCGAAGCCCATTCATGCCTATCACCCGGTCATCCTCTCAGCAGCCCTGTGACCACAGCAGGTAGCACAGAGGAAGCTGAGACAGACAGACAGTGGCCAAGGTCACGTGCTGGTCCTTGAGGCACGGGGGTCACACACTACCCAGCCCCCGCTGTCTTCACGGGAGCTCAGCAGGTGGGCAGCACGCCAGGCCTTCGGGGGAGGGTGGGGCCTTGTAACTCCCCGTTACAGAGGAGGAGGGGGCACCAGCAGGAGGCTCTTCTGTCTCTTTCCAGCCAAAGGTTACTTAGCGCTGGAGCAGCCGGGGGCTGTGATGGCAGCTGTTGTAATTGCAACCATACTTTACTTCCACACAGTGCTTTACAGCTGATAAAGTGACCACATGCACGGTCACTGCTGCATGTCCCAGTAATGAACGGGCACTCCCACTGCTTTGAAGAATCAAATAGGTCACACTTAGAGTGTGACATGAAGATGACTAAAAAATCATGAAATCAAAATTGATAAAGGAAACATCCAAAGTGGAATTGGGAGGCCGTTCGAGAACAGGAGCTTGTGCGTGCATCTCACCTGACTGGTGAGTAGCCTGGCTTCCGTTAAACCAGCTTCCTGATGCCGGAACTCACAAAGTTGGGCGAGAGCAACACAGACATTGGCAAATGCTGTCAGAGCCTAGAGAGGACAGTGTGTCGCTGCACTGACATACAGGCCTCTCTTCCCTTTACATTTGCCTCCCCCCCTTAAAAAAACATGTTACCTGGGGCCCTCCCTGGTGGCGCAAGGGGGTTAAAGCACAGCACTGTGAAGCTATCACAGGCACTGCAGCATGAGTTCGATCCCCACCCCCAGAGGTGACCACATGGCGCGGCAGACCTCTCCTGACCGGCCCGCTGCTCCCCTCAGCAGTGTACTTCACCGATTTGTCTCTGGTGAATCCTCTCACCCCTGCCATCTCTGGCCTGTCCCCCAATTCTGTATGTTAAAATAAACAAATCTTAAAAAAAAAAAAAAAAGTTATCTGCAGGAAGCTACTCTGTCTGTATCAGGTCTGTATTTCTATCTATTGGGGCACTTACATGGTTTCACTGCGTCTGTGACTCCTGACCGAGCTCTGGTTCATGCTGGATTGTTTTCTACACTCACCAGGCCCATTTCATCGGTGAGGAAACTTAGACTCAGGGTGTATCAGTGATGAGCCCAGCAGAGGTGGGAATCAGCCCCAGATCTGGCTCACTCAGACCAAGGGCTGTAGGCCCACCGGAGTCCCATACAGCAGAAGGGTGGAACAACTTCACACTTCATGTTATAATCGTATACATGTTGACGGCAACTGCATCTTCTTATTTAGTTGGAGATTTTCATGTAGGTGCTTCCAAGCAGGGAATGCAGACTTGCAGCATTTAGAGTCCTTTGGTTCTGTTAGTTTGGTCAAACCGGTGTGATATTTACAGATCAATAGTAAAATCTGCTGAGGTGAGTAGAACCCCATGCTCCTTAACCTTTCCTTTATACAACACGCTGGCAAAAATCAGCGACACGAGGCCTCCATGAACAAGGGCAGAAGTTCACTGCTGCTGAATAACTGCTTAATTAGATACCTTTCAGAGAATGCAACCTCTCAGAAAGGTCAGTCCTGGCTGTGACAGCTGTGTGGGTATAGGCTGGGAGAAGGAGGCTGCAGATGGCATACGATTAACGCCAATGAATTTTGAACGTCTTGGTAATATTGCTCTCTGGCCCTGTATCTTGATTAACTGATGTACTGCCATGGGGTAGATGAGAAATAACAAATAAAACAGCTTGCTTCAGGAACAACTTGCTTTTTCTTTCATGAGATGCAGAAAGCATTGGAGAGATGGGGAGGAGGTAGGGTGGCTCTCTAAGAGGCAAGGAGAGAGACTAGGGGAGAGAAGGGAGGAGAGAGACAAGAGGAAAGAGGAGAGAAGAGAAACTGGAAGAGAGGAAAGGAGAGGAGAGAAGAGAGAAGAGGACACCACAGAATTCCTATCTTAGCATCAGAAAGCAATGTCTTCCCACCAGGTTCTCTCTGTTGTACTGACTTCAGTGGCAACACATTCCGCGGTGGACTGTGGTCCAGTCCCACTGAAAGATGAAGCGCCACCGTTATTTACTGAGTGTGCATTGATAAGTCTGTGACCCCTGATCCTGGCCTCACAGGTCCCTCTGGGGAGCAGCTGTTCTTCCTGTGTCAAAGCCTGGCCAGTTCAGTCTGATGATGGCCAGCCAGAGACCTGCCACTGGATTATGGCTTCAGCATTAATTACCAAATCTAAAAGGTGCACACTTGCTGTTTTTCAACTTGAGGAGAACTCCTCTCTTAAACAACTTCCTTTATTGAAAGAGGATTTGGAAGCCAGTGGAAGGTGCCTTGTTCTGGAGATGGCAGGGACTGCTGAGGACTTCAGGGCTGTCCCTGCCATTACTCTGGGCCTTCCGGCAATGCCTGACCTAAATACACCAATGTCCTTGAGCTAGCAGAGGGCAGCACGAGGCGGTCTCCATGCCCCTCGGTTCTGGATGGAAGCAGACGTGGCCACTCTATGCTTTGTGGGAGGGGAGCAGGCCCAGCATTTTGCGTGGGAAGCGAAGAGAAGGGAGGGGGTCACTCACCATCTGCAGGACATCAGAGGAGACCATCTGCATGCAGCACATGGCCGTGGCCAGGGCACACACGATGGTGGAGAGGACGTTGAGGGCACACACGCTGAAGAGGAGGTCCTGTAGGAGAGACGCCAGAGAATGTCAGCCTCGCCTCGGCAGCCAGACGGCAGAGTCCGCCAGGGTCGCTCTCTGCCACCCCCTTCACAGAGGTTTTGTTTGGTGTGTTTCTTCTTTCCACAATCAAAAGAGACTAGATTTTAAGAGACACATTTTTCTATGTGCCCGTACAGACGATCAAACAGTTCTTAGACACTACTGCTGTAGCTCATAACTGTGATGATTATTAGGTCACACTGTCTAAGACCACCCGGAACGGGTGTCTTTGGGTAAGTGGTGTCAGAATTGAGTCAAACTGCATTTCACGGACATCTTGCTGGTGTCTTAGAATTGCCAGTTGATGCGGGCAAGCCTCCGCACACAATATTGCAATTGCGTCTAGGAACCCTTTCGCCTTTTCTCTGTTTTTCCATGGTAGTGCCTGCGAAACTACAGTACAATACCAAGACCCGAATATTGACAGAACGCGGTCAAGACAACGTTTCCATCACCACAAGGACGCCTCCTTTGATAAACGCATCACCTCTCTCTGTTCCTTGCTCAGTCTCTCTGTCCCAACACCTGTCAACCATTCGCCTACTTTTGATAATTTCGTCACTTCAAGCATGGTGGAGAAGTGGACTCGCACCATGTAATCCTTCTGAATTGGCTTCCCCCGGTGCCCCACGCCACTCAGCATAATTCCCTCTAGGCTCATCCAAGTTGCTACAGATGCTAATAGTTCATTTCTTCCCCTTGCTTTTATTCCACGGCATGGATATACCACAGTTTGTTTAATCACCCAGCAGTCGAGGAATATCTGAGGTGTTTCTACTTTTTGGCTACTACAAAGCTGTTGTGAACCTCTGTGCGGTTTCTATGTGAACATAAGTTTTTATTTCTCTGGGACAGATGTCCAAGAGACTGGACATTTGCTGGGTCATGTGGTAATGGACGTTAAGCTTTATAGCAAACTGCCAAATTGCTCTCCAGAGTAACTGAGCCAAATGGCTGTCTATTCTTGGAACATGCCGTGTGTGTGTGTATTCACAGATTCTTGCATTCGAATTTATAGGATCTTTGAAAAATGTCTCCCAATCTCCTGTAAGTTGGTTAGGACTGAAGAAATCACTGACCACCCCCTTTCTCAGAACCGGCTTATTAATTCTCAAGACTGTCTTATAACAATAGCCAAAGGGAGTCTCATTATGGTCCTGCTCCAGAGAGCAAAATGAACACACCAAATTTAAGGTATGTTCCCAAGGTTACACTGCTCATTGTGAACGTGAACACAAAGAACTGAGTCTTACTTTATGATGTGCTAGAAATGAGGCAGGGCTCAGTGTAGGGTTAATTATTTCCCACTCTTCAGGTAAGAGTTTTCTGAGTACTCTGAACAATGCAGGAACAGGCCTATTCCAGCTCTAAACAATATTAGACATTATTTTCTTTAATCCTTTGGAGTGGTTCTTTCCCAGACTCAAGTAGTTTCTCTCTGTGCGCAAGTTAATCAGTATTTGGCTGAGTGTTCCAGAGGGGCTCTGATGAGCCCAGAATTCTCCCCACTGCGCTGTCCTATGACCTCTAATCCTCAAACCTTAGCGTCCTTGGCCTCTCAACTCTGTCTTCTCAGCTCAGGAAGTCTGCAGGGATCAGCTCGGATCTGCTCAGGCAGATCTCGCCCTGTGAGCTGGAGATTCTTTCAAAGGTCAATGACATTCCAGGCAGTAAGGGTGGAGGTATGGCTTACCTCATCTGTTGAACAATATATCAGGGATCATCCTCCTTCATTGCATATGTTTATATTTTGCCTGCTTTTTTGTTTGTTCCATGAAGGAGGTTAAATTGAGTTCCTTAACTCAATCTTGGCCAGATGTTCTTGGGTTTTTTCCCCTTAATTTCCCAATTGGTTGTAACAAGGCCTACACAACTGCAGATGTGCCAAATTATATCCTGTGCAAAGTTACTATGGCCTCTTCAAGGGCCCTCCCTGCTCCTGAAGTCACTAAAGGTAGAAAGGAATGGAAGCTCGAGTGTGTGAAACAGCAGGTGCAGACGGGGCTGGAAAGACATTGCAGTTTCCTTTATATTGGAGAGATAGGATGGAACAGCTCTGAGGAGGTGAGGTGTTGAAAAGGAAAACATGCAGCCTTTGCATCCCCAAAGGAGGGGGCTGGTGTCTCTGCAGGCCTAGTACTGGACCTGGCACATAGTGCTCAGCAAACATCTATAAAAAGAGAGACTAGAGACACGGAGGTGACCAGTGAGATCCTGCCCCGAGGGGTTAAACTAGCACCCGCAGGAAGCATGGAGATGGGGATTCTGAAAGTGACTCTGACGGTGAATAGGGCATGGCTTATGTATTAGGGGAAGAGTGAAATGAAGGAGAAGAGATGGCAGATGATCCGAAGGCATGAGCAGTGAGTGGGTGCGTGCGATGCCAGCAGCTGTCCTGGGAGACCATGGGAGAGAGGTCTTAACAGAGAAGCTGGGACCTGGGCAGCTGAGTGGCCAGACCTGTCCCATGAGATGTTAGCAAACAGCTGAAAGCAGGTCTCGCGCTCATGTTGGTGGCCAGGACTGGAGCGTGGACAGAGTTAAGATGAGCCTTCCCTGTGGATGCCCTGGACATGCCCCAAGTCCCAGGGGCATCACGCCTACCTCCAAACCCCCCAGGCCTCAGGCAGTCAGGGTCCTCCAGACTCCCTAAAGAAGAAGGCATTGCTGGATGCACACTAAGAGTTTTCGGAGATAGCATACAGGAATGTTGTTTTCTATCCTCGGGGGCAATTCAAAAATCACAAAACCAAGGTATCTTTCAATGCTCCACCACGAGATATAAGCAATACCTTTGTCTTCAATCCAGAAACTTCAATTGTACTGACCACATATTTCAATGATACTGTAATGAATGCTCTTCTGAAAATGTTAATTTTGGATATACTCTCACTTGTAACCAAACAACTACTCACAGAAAAAAATAAACACAAATCATAACCTTTTGTTTGAATATGCTTGATGAGACAGACACTGCTTTCTGTCTCATAGTCTATTTGAAACACATTCCAAAAAGACTTGTTTGTTTTTGTTTTTGTCTTTCTTCTTCTTCCAGCTGTTTAAATACTTGGCTCTTTTCTAGCTAAGTGCTCATCACCTAGAATTGTGTTTATGTGTTTCTTTGAAATTCTCCATTTTAAATACTACTTCATCTCTGGTTTGAAAAGCTTTATTAGAGAGTCCTGCACAAATACTAAAACCTGGATTCTAGAAAATCTCTTTATGGGTCATTCAAATGGCAATGTGAAAGCAAGCAGTCTTTAGCAAAAGGTACTGAGTTTTGCTGCTTTCTACTTTACATTATTATTCTAGTAGAACTAAGAAAATCATAAATGTAACAGGTCATGCACAAAACAAAAATAAAAGGAAAATTTTTGCAAACTCAGGTAAGCCAACAAATGATGGATTCTTTTAGAACCCTCTCCAGGCCAAGTAAATTCTAAATAGTAATAACACAACTAGCAGAAAAAGGTGACAGCCAGAAGAAATTACACATGAGGAAACACCAGAAATTCAGGACTTAAATTCCTTTGGTTGCTGGAAATAATGTTGTCCAGAGGATGACATTCACCACGTTGTTTTTTTTCTGTCAAGTTTTGTTTCCTTTAATAAACAAAAAGGCTTCCCACAGGAGACCATTATCAGCCAGGGTAAAATGATGGGAGGTGAAGCCAGACTGAGAGCATGAGAAGTAAATGATGAGACAAAAGGCCAATGGTACAGGTATGTGTGTTGAATCACAAGGGGTGAGGGTGGAAGCTCATCAAAATTACTCTGTTGAAGTTTCCCAATGACTCCACACACTGATCACTATCTTAGTGGGACTTGCATGGTAGCAAACAGAACTTAAAAGTGGAAAAACAGGATTTCAGCAAACATGGGTAGAAGTGATGGGAGTATGACAAGCAAAATTATGCCTTTCATCTTCCCTCTCTATGTTCCAGGTGGGGAAGCCCAACTCGGTGACTTTGAGAGTCAAAACACAACATTGTCTCTAAACCAGATTGTCCCCCTCTGCCTCTGGAGTATATACAAGAATATCACAAACTTCTGAATACAGGTTTTTTGTATCATGAGCTCGAACTGATGCATCTTCTGTAAGTCTTTTCATCAGTCCTTCGTTTTCCATATCTAGTCCAGCTCGGGGCTTCACTAACACATATATACCTGGAAAACTTACCTCAGTTTCCCTACCATATCCCCTCCTACTTCTAACTCCTCAACCCTGGAGGAGTATTTAAAAGTCATCTCTAAGCACAAGTCCTTCTTATGCTTCCTTGTCACTCTGAATCTCAGAATATTCCCAGCTCCATTTTGACAGGTTATCTATTCTGTATAGAACATCCAAAATAGCTGACTGGAAAATATTTTAAAAGTCATAGGATATTTCATTTAACCTTCTGAATTCTAAGTTCAGACCAGAAAGAAATGATATACTAATTTCCAATCAAACACATAGAAAACTTGCCACTACCTTTAATAAAGTACTGCACAGGCAACACTCTATAAACACACACACACACACAACTTTTGTCGGTTGTATGATCAGTGTGTGTATGTGTGTGTATGTGCGTGTGTGTGTGTGTGTGTGTGAGAGAGAGAGAGAGAGAAATGTGTGATTTCTATTTTTATAAGATTTCCCAAGTGATGAGCATATCCTGGATCAAGTCCTAGGCTATTTAATTTGTCTCTGTAGGAATACTTTTTGCATGCAGAAATTTTAGTGGCTGATCCTACAGAAGGAGCTAAAATTAGGCTGTCATATGGAAAAGGTAAGTGATTCATGGAGGAATCTGTGGAAGTATAACTTCAAGATATAAACATTCCTTTTGGGATCTCTACAAATTTAAGTGAACTTTGGCCTTGCTGTGGCCTCTCAGGCATTATCAATAACACAGATGTTGCTAAATGAAGGAAGGTTGCTCCTTACACAATCTGAGCTATTTGGCTAGTGGCACTTTTAA